ACATATATCATTTTTTTCGTATCTTAAAAAATATTTTTAAATCTCTCCAAAAATCTTCGATCATCAAATAACCAAATACATCAACTAGAATGTGTTCTTGGTATTTTCTTTGTGTGTTGTTGGTTGGTTGTTGAATATGCTCCCTACGGCAGTAGCACTTCTACAATTCCAATCGATTGACAATGTATGTTGGCATCGGTAGTGGCAATGTTTTCGGAGAGTGGCAGTGTCTGGTGCTCGGACAACAGCAAGGCAGCAACGGCAATGGCAGTCCAGTAGCAAGACGATGTTGACGACCCTCTTCTGGCAAAGCAACGAACAATGATTCAACAAGAACGATAGGAAATTTTTTTGATTGGCTTGGTCTAAAATCTCCTTTGGCGGCGAATGACTCACTTAGAGACTGCCCAACTGCTTCCAAACAAGCCCCAAACCGATGGATTCTAGTACCGAACTCTAACTCTACACTCTTATCAAACCCCCCCCGATCACTCAGTGCACAAATTAAAAAGAAGATGAGAAAAAGGAAATATATAAACGTGAATCATATCGGGGTCAATATGATACGAGCCAAATTTCAACACCCCAAATATGGTTTAAAAAATTTGCACTATTTTTTTCTCTTTATTTAGAAATTGTATTAAAAAAAATTTATATTTTAGAAAATATGGCATAAATTAAATCCACTTTTTAGAGGTTTATGTTGTTCAATATTTTTGTAAACACGAAAAATGTTTGCACAAATATTGGAAAATTTTATATAATATTTTTTTAACACAAGATAATTTTATGCAATTTCTAAATTACAGTGAAAAATTAAATACTTTTAAAAAAATATCACAAAGAGATTATAAATAATTTTTCCATAATAATTGGACCATTTTGAATGTTAGATATGATTGACAATGATTTGCTAAGAGCATCCGTTGCAATTAGTATCTTTACTTTATTATTATTTTTTATTTTTTTATCTTTTTCATCAACATCATATTCACATTAATATTTAAATCACTTTTTGTTAGCACCGGTTATAATATCAGCACCTTTAGCCCATTATCTTTACAATTTTTAAAATTTTATAGTAATTGTTTAATTTTATATATTTTATAATTGTGTAATTATATATAAATAATATATATTATAGAATATTATATTTAATTTAATTTAAAACTATTAATCCATATAAATTTGGATAATATTATACTCCTACTTCAAAACAATAGTCTAATTTTGGCATTTTCATACCTCTCAAAATAATAGTCTTTGTTTTCACTTCTAGGAACTAACTCTTCACCTTTTTACAAAATAATCTTCACTTTTTTACAATAATTATATAAAATAAGGGCATTGTGATCTTTTAAAAATATTTTTACACTCAACATTAATATAATTTTATTACAAAGCTAGTTGAAAAAATTACTATTTTCATTGGTCAGCTGGGTGAAATTAATATAAAAATAAAAATATTAAATATTGAAATTGAATATATAAAAAAGAAAAAATATGATTGAAAAATATGCTGGTATGTGTTAGATTTTGAAATAAATTTTAACTATATTTGTATAGATAAATTATTAATAAATTTAAAATTTAAAATTTTTGGTAATAATTAAACAATTACTTTTCTAATTATTTTATTATAGGTAATAAGTTTTTTTTTAAAAAAAGATAATAAATGCGTCTTAACTGTAATTATTAATATGGGCAATAAATTTTATTGTAGTAAATTAAAACTGAAAAAATAATGATAGAAGTAATGGTAATGGTGATTGTAACAAATATTATAAGAGAAGAATTTAGTGTTATGTTTGGACTTGATAATAAAGCCTCCATTTACATACAAGTTTTGAAAATTTTAGGATTAGAAAATTTATAAATGATTAAAACAAAAAAATAGTATTTAATATAATATTTTGTTAGAAAATATTTAATAGTAACTCATATCATCTAGAAAACTTGGCACAGAGTTCTATTACTATTAATGGGTGATATATTTTTAAAAAATTACTGTTAATAAAAGTTGTAAATTTTCTAAAATGACCGTAAATAAGAGAAAATTGTATAAATATTCTGTTCGTATACTCAATAATTACATATGTCTTTTATTTATTTCTTTAGAAAAATATATAATATACGTTTGGAAGAATTATCATTTCTGTTCTCTGGCCGTACGTGATGTTCACACAACATTTGTTCCATGCGTGACCAAAAACAATAATGATGACTTAGAATTGAACAAATTTTTATCATAAGAAATTAACAATTTAATTCATGATAATCAAATGATGCATATTTTTCCTATATATTTATTTATATAATCCAACAATGTCGGTAGTGTTTGGTTTGGATTTTTCCAATACTTTTAAATTCATAATTTTTGCTATTTAAAATTCACATTATAAATATATACTCTATTTTCTCACAAAAAGTCAATAATTTAATATGTAATATCATTATTTATACTAACTAAACTATTAAATAAACAAACTCAAGATTCAAACTCTCAACCAAATACATTATCTTTCTATGGATTTTTTTGTCATGTTTTAGATACAATAGTAAAAAATTTGAATTATAATTATTTTTCTTTGTAATATAAATAATTATTTGATGTGATTTTTAGAAATATATATATTTTTTGTATGTTCTATTTTAAATAAATAAAAAAAAGATATTATGTAATATTTTAAAAGAAAAAAAATATATTAAATGATCATATTTGAATAGTAGAAATAAATTTTGGGGGTTTGGATTTTGAATTGAGATTTGAATAATAAAAATTTTGAATTTGAATAGTTGTATGATGTGATATAAATAGGTGTTGATGTGATGTTTTGAATGTAAAATTAATTTTTAGTATAATATAAAAAATAAAAAATAGGTGTTTGATTTGATATTTTTGTGGGGAAAAAATTGGATGAATAGTGTAAATCCAATCAAATGCCCAAACAAACACATTAAACACACCAAACAAATCCTACACTTATCTTTTGTTAATATGTAAGTAAATTATTTACTACTAAATTTGCAAATATACATATTATTAGTATATTATTATTATTATTATTATTATTATTATTATTATACATTTTCAACGAAAATAAATTATTGCATACATTGGATTCGATATTTAAAAAATAGATTAGCTATAAAATATCAAAAACTAGCAAAAGAACACACTTTGTCATGTTTTATATTCCTCACTCTTTCATCTAAATTTATGTTTATTTTTATTTTTTAATTTTCATCGAAAGCTATTTATGTTTTCTTATCTAAGTAAACAATACCATTCTTTTTACTACATAAAAAAAAAACATTTTAAATGTTATTCAATTTTTTAATTTACTAATCAAATGGGCATATATTTCGAAGGCGATGTAAGAGTATATTTTCGGTTGATTAATAAATAAAATGATTAGCGGGCAGCCATGTTCATTCTGAATTTTAAATTTTTATTTTTATAAAAATTAATACTCCCTCCGTCCACTTACAAAGTTTACATTTATTTTTGGTGTGGTATTTAAGAAATAATAGTATTTTAATCTAGTTAAAAGTAGTGTAATGATATTTTTGCCCTTGCTTTTTTTTTTTTTTTTATAAAAGTAATAATATGATTTAAAGTAAAAGTATTGTGGAAAAGAGTAAGGTATTTAATAAAATGTTAACATTGTAATTGAACGTCCCAAAATAAAAATACGTAAACATTGTAAGTTGACGGAGAGAGTCCTATATTTTTTATTATAAACAATGAAAGTTAAATAATAAAAAAATATATGAATAATTAATTAATAATTTCAAAGGAAGTGTAGGTGCCCTTCTAGGACGTACAGATCTGCAATGCCACGTAATAATAAATCGCAAATGGTGTAAATTATTGACTAACGGAAAATATGGTATTATTATTATTAATATTAATATTAATATTCTCTCTGTGAGTGTCGGTGATAAATTAATGAATGAATGCTCCTATTTTGAGCGAGGACAAAAAATTAAATTACTTTGTTTCATCATATATTATATTAGTGACCCCATGTGAACCATAAATTAATTTTGCCCCTCTTCAATTTAATACATAATTAATTATACTTAGCATATAATATATTATATATCGAATTTTTTTCAACTCAATTTGGTTATTTATTTGTGTAAGAACTGAAAATTTATTTGTTAGAGTGCATTCTAATCCACGAATAATAAAGTGCTGAAATAAATAAGTAAAAGAAAACACGTTTTTAGCGTACTGCAATTGCTATCCTTCTGTAACTAAAGTCGTGTTCAGACTTTGTTCCGCCAACTCACTACGTTTGACGTATTTATTATAATGCTCTCCATTATTACTTCTTACAAGGATAATCAATATGTCCTGTAAATTAGATTTTTATATATATATATTTTTTCTCAAATAATAATAATGAAAGAGTTGCAAGAGTCATGAGAAAGTTTGCAGTCAATACTTAAATGTGACTCTCAAATTGAAATAAAATACGTAATTAATTGAAAAAATAAATATATATATATATTTTATTATTTTTAAATACCCAAGTTTGTCAACACTCTGCTAAGTGGTGACTGACCTACACGCTTTGAAAACTCAGTCTTTTTAAACTGATCTTTCTATTTTGTTGTAGAAAATCATTGAGTACTATAGGAATTATTTTATTATTATTTAATATCGAGTTATTATTAACTGAATGCATGATAATTTTCACAGCTGGCAGAGCCCCCAACTGCAATTAATTAATTTTTCAGGGACCATTTCATAATATTTTAAAGAATGAGGGGTCCGTTTGTAATTCTTTCACGAATTGAAGTGTGTCCTTTCCATCTGTAAGGGAGAGTAAAGCATAGGCGCACTTCCTTTTCATCATTTCATTTTAATTTATAGTAATTATTGTCATTTATGCTAATTTGAAATTATATAATATTATAAATATTATAGAGGGTGGGGCCCAATTTTTCCTGTGGAAATTTCCTTTATAATCTCATTCGCCAAACTCCTCAGTCTCCAGAGGGGTGGTTCAGGAAATAAATTTTAAAATTTAATAAAAAAAAAAGAAATTAATAATAAAGGTTGTTTGCTGAGGGAGGCAAGGAAGGAAGGAAGGAAGGAGGAGGGAGGTGCGTAATTAAAATTGAAATAAATGCAGTACCACTCGAGCGGCGGCGGCGCGTCGCCGGCGGACAGCAGCAAGACGGCGAAGCTGGAGCGGTACAACAGCTACATCCGCCGCGTGAACAGCACGAAGCTCCTCCAGGCGTCATCGAAGCTCCTCTTCCGTGTGACGCTCCTCGTCGCCCTCGTCCTCATCTTCTTCTTCACCCTCAACTACCCGCCGCTCGCCTCCGACGCCGGCGCCGGACATCACATTCACGCAGCCAATAATTTCCTCTCTTCCGCTTTCTACGGCAGCGGCGCCGCCTGGGAGAAGCAGGTCCGCCACTCGTCGACGCCGCGCCGGCCGAACGGATTCTCCGTCCTGGTCACCGGCGCCGCCGGATTCGTCGGGTCCCACTGCTCCCTTGCCCTGAAAAAGCGCGGAGACGGCGTCCTCGGAATCGACAATTTCAATTCCTACTACGACCCGTCCCTGAAACGCGCCCGCCAGAAACTTCTAGAAAAACACCAGATCTTCGTCGTCGCCGGCGACATCAACGACGGCGAGCTTCTCCGGAAGCTCTTCGACATCGTGCCCTTCTCCCACGTGCTCCACCTGGCGGCGCAGGCCGGCGTCCGCTACGCAATGCAGAATCCGCTGTCTTACGTCAGCTCCAACGTCGCCGGCTTCGTCAGCCTCCTGGAGGTGGCCAAGGCCGCCGACCCACAGCCGGCGATCGTCTGGGCGTCGTCGAGCTCCGTCTACGGTCTAAACACCCACGTCCCGTTCTCCGAGTCGGACCGGACGGACCGGCCGGCCAGCCTCTACGCGGCCACAAAAAAAGCCGGCGAGGAAATCGCCCACACGTACAACCACATCTACGGCCTCTCTCTAACCGGGCTGCGCTTCTTCACCGTATACGGACCGTGGGGCCGGCCCGACATGGCCTACTTCTTCTTCACCAAGGACATTCTCCAGGGGAAGGGCCTAAACGTCTACGTCACCGCCGACGACAAGGAGGTGGCGCGTGACTTCACGTACATCGACGATATCGTGAGAGGGTGCGTGGGCGCCCTCGACACCGCCGAGAAAAGCACCGGCAGCGGCGGGAAGAAGCGGTCGCCGGCGCAGCTGCGCGTGTACAATTTGGGGAACACGGCGCCGGTGACGGTGGGGAAGCTGGTCGGAATCTTGGAGAGCCTTCTGGGCCGAAAGGCGAAGAAGCACGTGATCAAGATGCCTCGAAACGGCGACGTTCCGTTCACGCACGCTAACGTGAGCCAAGCCTTAAACGACTTCGGGTACAAGCCGACCACCGATTTGGCGACGGGGCTGCGCAAGTTCGTCAAGTGGTATGTCGGCTACTACGGGATCCAGACGAGGGCAAAAAGGGAATTTCACTCCTCCGAGCATCCGGACGATTAAGCAAACCAATGGTCCGAGGTCTCCATCATCACATGGGGGTGGGGTAAACCTTTTTAATTATTTTTTCTTTTTCTTTTTCTTTTTAAAGATAAAAAAAAAAAAGAGAAAAGAAAAGATTTTCAGTGTCTATGCATATTACAAGAATATAAAAAATATATAATTAATATCTACATGGGGCCAATAGGGTATAGATTTTTATACACAAAATTATACTCGTATATTATTTATTACTACTATCAAAGCAAAGATCGTGAAGAGAAATGTGTAGATCTTTGAATTTGGGAGTTAAATTCGTTGTAATAAAGAGTCGTCTCTCTTCTATGGAAAAAAAAAAAAAAAAAACAGGCATAAAAGAGGGAAGGAAGGGGTAAAAGGGTATAGATGGATGAAGGAAGCTTGTGTATGAAGATCAATTAATTGTATAATTATTTCAACACCAATGGACATCCATAAACAGCTTCTTCTTCTCTTGTTTATGTTTTTTTTTTTTTTTTTTTTTTGACATGTTCATATGCATGCAGATTTGATTTGATTATATTTCATTTTACTTTTCTGGATCTATCTATCTCTCTCTCTCTTTTAAATTTTTTATTGCAATATATCAAGAAATAGTAATAATGGTGGCATGCATGCATGCCTATTGAGTAGGAATAGTGAATATGGAGTTTACAAAAAATGGGAAGATGCTTAAAGTGGTGTGGCCGTAGGTTGTGTGTCGTCTGAATGCATGCAGATGACATTTTACTCTTACAAATCTCACCAACTTTACCTATATTAATTAATTAATTAATTAATTATAATAAAGTAAACACCATACAATATAATCCTCGTCATTTATGAATAATTTAGAGTTGAGGGAAGAAGTTACATGTTTACAATTTAATTATGTATTTGAATTGAAACAATAATTTATGTAATATAGTAGGCATCACAATTAATCCCAATATATATCATACATTAATAAAATATCATAATATAATATATAATTGACAATACAAATTAATAGGTTACATAATACATATTGTTTCAACAATAATATATTACCGGAATGAGAGTGTACTCTAGTAGCGAAGCTCTCAACCCCCGGCCTTTAGAGGTTGGGGGTCGAATCTCATATGGTAGTTATTTTATTTAAGAGATTTATAGAATTTTTGTTTTATTTAGACGATTTGTATGTCAAATAGGCTAGCTCAGTTTTATATTCTAACATGGTATCAGAGCCAAATTCTCTCCAGGTACATCCATGACTCGTTATATCTCATATATATTTTTATATTTTATTGATGTATCTGCTTCTATTCATAGTCATGCTCGGTTATGCTGTTATTTCCATGTCGTTTTCATCTTTACTACTCCACTGATATAGTCTACTTTCGACTTTAACGCTATTGAGAGTTCTGTTTTCGACTCTAACTCTATTGAGAGCGAGGGAGTCCTGTTTTCGACTCTAACTCTATTGAGAGCGAGGGAGTCCTGTTTCCGACTCTAGCTCTGTTGTAAACGAGCGAGTCATGTTTCCGACTCTAGCTCTATAGAGTGAGCGAGTCTTGTTTTCGACTCTAGTTCCACTTTGAGCGAACAAGTCCTGTTTCCAACTCTAACGGTGTTGAGAGTTTTGTTTCTGACTCTGATCCAATGGACGGCTACATCACCTTCAGTCAATCTTGGCGAATTCAAATTCGTACATGGAAGATCTCGGCTATATCTTTTTTCGCTCACTTCTGACAAACTCAAGTTTATTCGATCATATCTTGAGTTTGAGGAGGGATGTTAAAATATATTTAGAAGCAATATATTATTTTTATGGTAGTTATCTTATTTAAAAGATTTATAGGATTTTTGTCTTATTTAGACGATTTGTATATCATTATAAATATGTACGTATTTTTATAATTGAAATAGAGAATTTCAGTTTTATGTTCTAACAATGAAGTTAACTGATTTAGAGGAAGATGTTAGTTCACAAGACCCTCTTGATTTGGTAGTAGTCTACAAAGGCGAAAGCATCTGATTGTCCAAGAATTCAAGAGATAAAGATCTTCGAACATGTGATCATAGCTCAGAGAAACAACCTAACAGACTATCTAAGGTTAGTTACTTCTTTTTTCATACTAGTTCGTTTTCTCATCCGTTGTGACACATTAGGCTTCAATAGTGATTTAAGCAGCAGTTAAACCTAAAATAGCTCTTCGATCTGGATAAAGAGGTTGTCGATAAAGCTTTCTCTATCTAACATAATGCGGTTTGGCTAACTCGGCGGTAGCAAATAATAATGCTCCTGAGACTTTTCAAACCCATTCCTTATTTTCATCTTTTTTGGGGCATTTCTAGTGATGATATGTTGGCGAGTTATTTGAGATCTCGTTATCAACTTGGCCTAAAAAAATGAATCTTCGGTAGAATGAGAAGGATTTTATTATGGTCAGCGCAGTGAGATTTGTGGAACTAATCATGCTTTTATGCGTGCGCCCGGAAACATAGACGACTGTTGAGCAATATATGCATATATTATATGTACTAAAATGAATAATATTATATGATGTATGAATTTTATAGGGTTCGTTTGCCCAATATTTATTTTCAACATGATTTTTGATACATATATTTTAAAGTCAACATTTAATGTAAAATATTATTTTTCATATTACTAATACGAGTTCCTATACCAAACATAAAAAAATTCTCCAAATCAAAACAGTAAAGCCAGCCGCAACGGCAGCATCTCCCCACATGAGATCTCTTCTCTCTCTTCCAGGTAAGCGCCACACTACATCAACATAAATTTTAAAAATATATATCAAAAAATTTATCTTTTTGTTATATTTATATATTTTGTATATTTGTATCTATTTGTTTATTTATTTTTATATTTTTGTATTATATAAAATTTTATTATCTACACAATGATATGTATATTGATATAATTTTTAAAATTTCAGTTTTAAAAATAAATAATTTTGATATAAATATAAATATATATGTATTTTTTTTTTTTTTTATTGATGTGAATGAAATATAAAGTGGAAGAAAGAGAAGGTAAATTAAAGGTGACGTGATACTTTGGTTGAATATCTTCATTGCAGATGGCCTAAGGAGACGTTTGGTACAGAAAATAAAATTGTAGGGAAAAAATTCAGTAAAGAATGAAAATTAATTCTTTAGTTTGGTAAAACAGACAATTCAGTTAAGAAATATTAAAAAAAATGCAATGGATCGATCAAAAGAATAAATAATTAATTGGGCAAAAGAGAGTTTTAATGAGTTAGAATTCATGAAAAGTATATTTGGTAATGTTTTTTTTTTGTTTAAATAATAAATTAGATACAATATTTTGTAAGATCAGGTTTTAGTATAAAATTTAAATACATATTGATAAATTATACTTTCTCCGTTTGTTTCTAAGAGTTATATTTACATTTTGTGTTATTGTACTTAACATTAAAAATATTTTTATATTTGTATAATTTTTTGTACAAATATCCTTCTATTAGTATTATAAAACACTAATGGAAATATTTTTGCAATTTTTTTCTAATTTGTATTACGTTTTAATATAATAATTAATATTAAAAGATCAATCTGCAAAAAATACATGAGACTCTCAGAGGCGAACGGATATAACATGTGATGTTATGTAAAATTGAAATAATATAATTTAAAAAAAACTTATAAAAATTAAATAGTAATAAAATTGAAAAATAACAATAAATATACTGCCATCAATATTCATTTCTGTCAAATCTTTCTGAATAAGAAAATAAATGAAAATAAATAAATAAAAATACTTTATTTCTCAAGTTTTATTTGTCCGACTGAAACAAAACAAACGAGAGATTCTCTACTATCAATTCTTTATACTTTATCAATCCCATAACAAAGTATCAACTTTTTTATTTTAGTTCGTTCTATAACAAAATATCAATTTTTTTTTTTAGTAATTTTACTAACATTACAAATACACTTACAACTTACAATATATTATACAAATGTCATTACTTTTATATCACACAATACTAATAAAATTATTTTAGTCATTTCTACTTTATTCATACTTACATTTCAATATAATACTAATATTTTTAAAACTACGTGTAAAAAATAAATAGATATATCACTATAGGACGGAGAGAGTACTTAAAAAAAAAAAAAAAAAAAAAAAAAAAAAACATACAGTAATTCTATAATTCAACCATATATGCACATGGATTCTACAGTAATATATACAGATATAGATATACATAATATACCACTTTCAACTAAACACTCCACATTCAATGAACCAAACCACCTCTCTTTCTGTTGAAAATTTAACAAATAAGACTTACGTTGCTGCTTTGTGCTGATAAAGTAAATAAATTTAGACTCTGTTTATTTATATTTTTATCTTTAGTTTTAATTATTTATTAAACAGTGTTACATTTTACTAAAATATTGAAATCATTAAATACAATAAGTTGGTTCATCCAATAAATTATTTTTAATAGAATTTTTCAAACAATATTAACAAAAAATATAATATATAATTAATATATATGTATTCTATTCTTTAAAAAAAAATTAATAATTTAATAAAAAATATTATATCTATATTATTAATACAATTTTCTATACCATGTCAAAGAAACACCTCAAACTATTATACTTATTATTTTTTTTAAAATTTTTTTTATTATCAATTCAAAATAGCAAAATATGCGTGCTTAGTTATAATTTCAAATCCAAATCAATACTATTTATTTTACATAGTTTTTAATTAAAATACATATATATATTTTTATAAAATATCACATTAAAAATACTATTTAAATAAAACTAAAATCAACAGTATATATTAAATTAATTTCAAACTAACAAGTAAATAAAAAAGGGGTAAAAAAGACACAGAGGCTAGCCATGCGCGTAGTTATTAATTTGGTTAATTATTTAATCTATTCTGGATGAGTGATGGTGTATTGAGTTCAGTAGATGATTTATGCTTTCATTTTTTGGTAGAATATTTATGGGAGAAGTGATCTATGTGTTAAGATGATATAAGAACAGAATGGAGGGAATTGAAGTAAATGGTGGAGAAACTAACAAGAAAATGATGGATGAGATCTTGATTTAAATAATTGATAGAAGTTAATTATAGAGAAATAAAATTTGAATTTGTTTACATTACTTTTTTGTGAGTAAAAATATATTGGAAAAAAATTAAATTTAATTGAGAAGTTAATTATAGGGAAATTAAATTTGAATTTTTTTTACATTACTTTTTTTTGTGAGTATAAATATATTGAACAAAAATTAAATGTTAATTGAGATTTTTTCGATTATATGAATTGAAATATAATTAAAATCGTGGATGTCATTACGGACTTTAAGTCAACTAATCAAGTAATGAACTAATTAAATTATGGGAGGTTTTATCCCACACTGCATAATACATGAATGATGTATTTATATATTGAATAGTGTAATAAATGTGG